TGTTTAATCTTTTGTTTTTTTCTTTCCCAAAAAATCTATTATTGAGTCACAGGTAAAAAAAGAAACACAGAATGAATAACTGTAATTAATAATCACAGTTCCAAATTATAGTCCTGTAAGATTTTTACTTTTTTTTCAAAGATTTCCCATTTGTTTGTCCCATTTTTTCTCACACCCTGCGTGGCAGGTAGATGGGTATTGTCACTACCGGTCTCACACAGCGGGAGTAAGACGTGAGTTAGACAACCCGTTCATCCCAGAGTTGGTGCTCTGGTCAGTCACATCTAGAATCTGCCTTCTTTATTTAAGCACCCCCCAATAAGATATTTCAATTGACTGTATTAAGCTGATGGTACCACATGCACAATAGTCCTGATACTTGTATATTTTTATATGCATAAAGCTAAAATAAAGACAAGATGAGATACAAATGCCATAAACATCCCAAGTACTTAGGTCTCCTTTTGAAAAACAGATTTGCCTTCTAGCATTTCCACCAGAATCCCTTGCACTTGCCAGATTCTATGGTTTATATATGTTCCATTTAATATGTGAAAACCTGATATAAAGTTTTCCTAGTTGGAGGAGGTAGTCACTTTCCATTAAGTTAAACAGTCCCAATCCATTCAAAGTTAAACTATCTGACAGAGAAATAGAAAAACTTGGCTTTGTGGTCTTGCGGGAGGGGGCGGAATGGCTGTTGGTTTCTGGTTATTGCTGCCGACGAGAGCCCATTATTTCTGTCCTGAGAGCACTGGCTCAAGATAGTTGTGAACATGAAAATCTCCTAAATGTGTCACTCCAAGTCCTTAAGGAATCAAACCTATTAATATGACAAAAGGAATATGTCATAAAACCATAACTACTCTTTCTATATTACCAGATTTTTGTAGGGTTTGGGGCAAGAATAACCTAAATTACAAGTGTGTTTTTAGCCTGCAACATTTTATGGTAAGAGTTGCAGAGTTCTTTGCAATCGAGGGGGGAAAAGAAGGACTGATTAAAGCCAACACGAACTCCTTACTCTACACACAGAGGGACTTCATGGTGACACAACTGCTCCAGTTTGCAGGGAGAATATTTCCATTTCTTGGTTCTATTAAGAATCCACTGGCGGCTTGCATTGCAGACCTGCTGTTTAGTCTGCAGGTGAAAATTAAACCCAAAGCTTTAGCTCTTGCCTTAAACTCTGAGCATTCCTCCAGCGCACACCCTTACCCATGCCTGTCTGCTGAGATCTAGGATTCAACTCTTCAGACATCTTAAAACTCCATCAAGCATTAGGGGATAGGGTTGGATATTGGACTGTCTTCTCCTTTGAGTCAATCAATGGACGTGTACCCAAAGTATATGCCACGTGCATTCTGGCGAACCAAATGAAAAGAATGGAGATATGTGCCAACCACATTTCTAGGTTGTAGTGGGCTTTTGTCCAAACTTAACCAAAGCAATGAAAGAGTTACATTTATTAAATTCCCCCCTTTTTTTTTCATTTACAAAAGAAAAACTAAGGCAAAATGAGTGCAATTTTCCAATAGTCATAATAAAAATATAGTTCTCCAACTCTGCCCACTTTCCTTTCCTGCCAAAAAACCGCCCATGTTTCACCCCGGTATGGCGCAGCCTCAGTTGTCTTTGTAAAATAAGTGCGTGAATGGTGGGGAGCTGTTCAGTATTTAGAGCCCTGAGTGGCTAGAGCTCACAAAAATGTCACTGTGCACTTGCACTTTGAAAAGTCCTTTTATCCTACATTCCAGGACGAAGCCTTCTTGACCAGACTGCTGCTGTTTGGCCTTCCCACCTCCATGACTAGCCCCTAATGAAATGTATATAATTCTTGGCTACAACATTTCAGTCTCCTTATTGAGTCAATGCTACTCTTTAGGGGCTACACAAGCTCCAAGGTCCTTTGGCTTATGTGGCAAGCGTGAAGCATTTCAGTCAGTATCGCAAGGTGCAAGCTATTGTCTACAATAAGCAAGAATGTCTTCTAAGTCCATGAAGGGGACTGAATCTGATAACTACTCTGCTAATTACTACTCTGCTCTGGGAATAAGAGTCTTTGGGGACATCAGAGCCAGCTGCTTGTCCCCTGCAGCCCCGGTTTCTGTCCGCTGTCTGCACCGCAGGAGAGCCTCCTGTGAAGTCTGCGCAGCCAGGGCGCAGGGCAGGCACAGCGGGTTTCCCACTTTCTGTCCGACGGGGAGGGTTTTTCTTCTTTTAATGACATGCACGCTTTTGTCTCGGCAACCAAGTCCCTGGAAAGGTGAGGCCTGCAGAGGTGAGAAGTGCCTCGCCCTGCCAGCGTCATCGCTTGGCAGCCATGCTGTCCCGTGGAGAGTGGCCAGTCAGGGCTGTGCAAAGACGAGCTTGCTCGCCTCTAACTAGCCTTTTGAGAAAACCACCCTTTTGAGCATGTGAGAGCCACGTTCCTTCCCAAAGTTCAATGGAGTGTGCGCCCCCGCCCTCTGAGACTGTACCCAGTACTCTCACAACTATGAGTAGAAGAATTTCAAGGTCAGTGGAAAGATACCTAAATAAAACAACTGTCTGTGTTGTGTTAAGAACCGTTAAGGAAACAGTGAGACTGACCATCGTTTTTAGCTGAGTTGTGTCTAAGGGGTTTGAATAAACCACTTACATATCAGGAGCTTCAAGAGCTCAGATTAAACAAAGTTTCTGGGAATGTTTTGAACGCTGATCACATTCCATCTACTACAAGGTCTCTGTAAGTTCATGGCCTGAAAATTCTATTTCCTTCCAGATTTGGAAGTACTTTGGTTTCCAGATAGTACAGAAAAACCGAGCCGTTGGAAGTGGAATAATTACAGCGAGATCCAGGAGGTTTTCCAGCTTGACTGAGTTCTATTAATTGATCAACCATTGAGAAGAAGGAATAAAATATACCCGCCAGCTTTTACGCTGTGGCCTGTTTCAGAGTAATAACCTAAGTCCACACCTCCTGTCCATAATGAGAAGTGAGTCATTTGGGGACGGATGAAGAGTGTATCTGCCAAACAGCTTAGTGACTTTCTGGAACTTAAATATTAAGTGAAAAGAGAAGGCCACAGGGCAGCCGAGCCGTGGCTCGTCTCTCTCTCGTCTGTCCGTGGCTTTGATCATGGTGCATCCCCTCTGTGGCCAGGACTCCGTAGAGAATCTCAGGGTCGTGGCCTGGTGCCTATCAAGAGGTATAAACCCGCTGCTTAAATATATGAAGCGCGAAGTTTGGGGTTTGAGAGTGGAGGGGAGGTAGCTTCATACGGCCCACATTTCCCACATAACCCAAAGCAGACTAAACAAAACTGGTGTGAGATCTCGTGGCTCGATGCTGCCGTGGTTATATTTTCTAAGCTGTGATCCATTCATTTGTAGGCGTGTTTGTTCCCAGGATTTACAGCTCTCTGAGTCTTTGGGGGAAGAATGTGTGAAACCTTTGGCAAAGGGTTTGCCGTAAGCAGCGGCCTGCGATTAAAGCCCAGGATAGTTTGTGAGTGTGTAGGGGTGTGTGTGTGCGTGCGTGCGCATTCATGTGAGTGCCCGCCCGTTCGTGTGGGCTTTTTTCCTCCCGTTTGCTGCTTTTACGCAAAAGCGTCACACATGGTAGCATTTAGGAGCTCCTTCACAGCTGAAGTGTTTCAAACACTAATGAATGGAAGTTTGGTCATATAATGCAGACAAGCTTTAAGGCATGCGTTACTGAATGGTGTACTGTAGTGACCTGGGAAAGGAAGAGAGGTATAAATTGTGTCAGTTAGCCACCCAGACAAAATCAAGCCATGTGGAAAATCAAATCTATTAAAGTATGAAGACTGTTATAAGCTGTTTTAAGCTGGCCATTCTTAAAGGGGCTCAGTTTGCTGCCGGGGTAAATGTTTACCTCTTCTCCCAGATCTTTTTCACATGCCGTCTTATGAGACAGTGTGCAGCATTTGATAAAAATCATCCTCTCACTAACGACGCTTTTATCAGAAATGTTTATTGTCTCCGCTTTACCACCCATGTCCTGAGAGGTACTGCACATTTGTAAAATAAGCAAAGGGGAAGAGAACTGTGCGGCTCAAGCCAGCTTGCAGAGACTCCAACAAATTCCAGAACCACAAGGAATCAGAAAAAGGAAGAGAGAAGGAGGAATTAGATTAACATAAAGAAGAGGCCCTGCAAAAACATATATATTAGATTTTCTCTGCTTGGCCAGCCCGGCGTTAAATGTTCGGTAAATGTGGATTTAGCATTGAGATTGAGCAGTGAGGCCAAACTTTGGTCATTGTCTTAAAATGTGCTTGAATGCACATAAGACCAAGGAACCCGATCTAGAGAGGAAGTTAGGAGTCGGCTTGCCGCCTGAGATCAGGCTCCCTTGTGCGCCCGCGTTGTCTCTGCCTGGTGGCGGGGCCTTTGTGGTCACACACAGGTCCTGGTGCTCGTCTGACTCCGCCCAAATCCTGGCCCTACTCACCCTGTAACTTTGGGTTTATTACTTGTTGCTCCTCGATTTCCTCACCTGTAAAATGGGAATAATAGCAGATATTCCCTAAAAGCTACTCATAGTCACCATAAAAGTATCAGCTATGATTACCAATATCTGAAGGACACGTATATTTTTGCCCTAAGTAAGTTATCTCCTGGACTTTCGTTTTCTTACTTGTACGCCGGTTTTTAAAACTGATGAGTGGCATGCTATCGGGGAGAAAAATTGACCCATTTCTCTTTTCCTCTAATTGGTGAGTAAGCGCACATGGGCCTGACATTCTCCGGACTGCAAACAGTGGAATTTGCTGACCGGCCTCCATGGTGTCTCAACAGTGGCTAATGACTGCTCTGGGGAAAAACACCACCTTGATCCCTCAATTACAGTTTCAGAAGCCCCGGGGACGAGGTGCTTGCCAGTCACGCACCTCAGAAGCAAGCACAGCGCGTGTGGACGCGGGTCCCCTCTGGACTGCCTGTGCGGACGCCCACACGGCCGGCCTAACGCTTGTGCCCTTTGTGTGTTCCAGGAGGAGACTGAAGAGACATCCTCACAAGAGTCTGCAGAAGAAGACTAGGGGGCGCCCACGTTTGATTTCTACCTCAGCAGCAGTTGGATCTTTTGAAGGGAGAAGACACTGCAGTGACCACTTACTCTCTATTG